TTTTCCTTTCTGCTGAACTCACTTCTTCCATTTGCTTCCTTGCAGAGTTCACTTTTTCTAACAACAGGAATATGTGTTCTGCAAACTCCCGCACAGCTCCACAGCCACCACTGCTTTTACAAATATAACCAGCAGCCTTCTGAGCAACTGCACAAGCATCAGCAGGCACACCACTCATGCCAGCTGTCTTCAGGCATTCCACATCAGACTCTTCATTTCCTATTGAGAAAGATGACAGACAATGCAAAATATCACAGAGGAGAAAAACTGAGCAAACTCGGTATTTTTCTGTGTACATAATCTGTTTTTTAAAATTTGTATTCTTCCCACAATTCTCCTCTCAGCAGCTCAACAGCACTTTGTGTATGAGTCAGTTCTCAGAAAATCTTAGTAATACTTGTAAATGCTGATCGTACTTTACACAATCTTCAGGCAAGAGAACGGTACTTTTAAGAGTAGTAAAATTATCTGAGCAACTGCATAAGCATTTGCAGGACACTTAAGCTGTCACTGAAATATAGTTTTGTACAGAATCATATGGCTTTCAGTTTTAATTCTGTCCATTTCTTGTTTCCATTTCAGAATATAATCTATACAATATCCATCTGAAATGAACTAGAATCAGCTCAAAATTGTGAGCTGTAACTGTATGCTTGTGTAATATCAAAAACTTTCCTAAATCTCATTATAAAAACAGCTAAGACTTCCTTTATCAAATTAGACACTGATTCATCAATGCCTTTAGTACTTAGATTGTACCCTAACAAGCCTTAAAATACATACCTGCTTTTGGTGATTGTGTGCTGTAATTTGCACGTCAATCCCATTGTTTAGCGTGTTAACAAAGGGCAAAGTGTTTTGAAGAGCACTATGAAGTTTGTATTTGTGTGTGCTGTATGATATTTTACTACCAAAGAAAAAGGAACTGACCTAAGTAAGCGACTTCTTTCCAGCTCAAACCCATGTCTTTTTGCCAGTCCTCCAGGACTTGTAATTTGTTTGTTGCACTAACTTTTGCTACACATCCCAGCTGCATGGCTGACAGTGTTTTGGAACAATCTCTTTCAGAGATGAGTCGAACCTATTAAAGTTAAGTTAGAGTAAATTCTACATACAAAGAAATAAGACAGAAGTTGATTAATTAAAAAAAAACACAGTAGAAGTTTTGTGGTATCTGAGAGAGCTTCTGAGCGAAAGCATTGAATAACTGGTTTCTTCAATCAAAACTCAGGGCAAAAGTGGTTAGCATCCAAAACCACATTACAATCTTGAAGTTGCTTTGGGAAGGTGAAAGACCATTCTGTAGGCTTCCCTGAGGTTCAAAAAAAGAAATCTACATTTGTCTTTTTAAATGCAACACGTACCAAATAAAATACTGGATATCACAGTACAGTGGCATGCTGACAATCTAGTGCAATATCCTTTAATTAAGCCACAGTAGGGAACAAGAGAATTCCCAAGGAAGAGTTCTGTAATATTTGTAGAAGTAGAATATTATGAAGTATTTTCCATGACATCATTTTATTTACAGTAGGAGCATCATTTACTTCAGAGCATCAACAGAACACTAAACAGACTGAAGGAGCGCAGCACATTAATCTCCCAAAGTTCATTCCAAATTTGAAATTTCAGAAACAATATACAAGGTAGGGTAAAACCAGAAGATTATTGCAGCAGGATTTTTAAAAATCTCAGACAGAATCCCTCCAAATTTTCTGTCCAAGCTGTGGACAAGTTTATCTGCCCTAATTGCTGAATTTAAGTACAGAGTGAACACGAGTGGTGCACAAAGCAAGAATATGTCAGCAACATATACTAGAAATACATAAAGTGCAGCACAAAGACCAGGAGGTTTTTAATGAAAGATTCCAAGTCACAGCAAGTATGGAAATGGGCTCCCACAGGCAACAAAACAATGATTATAAGGTTCCTTCCCTTTTTGCCTCACAGAAAACAAAACTCAGGGAGTTTTGAAAAACCTTCTACTCCATGTCACTCCCCCAAGGCAGCAACAGCTGCATCAAAGTATGTCATGAACTTCTCATCTAACCTGTTATTAAAAAAAAACCCCTACAATAGAGACTCCAAAAATGTATCTGGAGAACTCTACTTGGGGTAGAGCTACCTTTGTCTTATCCGTGCCTATCTCCATCTGTAACAGGACTGAGTTAAGGGTCTTTAAAGGCAGCCTAAATCTGTACTTAGTTCTTACCCATAAAAATTCTTACAGCTATATCAAAGGCAGCAGCACAGACAGAAAAATAGCCAGGAGGCTAATTTTACATAAATGCAAGCAAATATTCAGATCAGCAGAATTTAGTAGCAGTAATAATGGTCAATAATAATAGTAGCAGCCATGTTACAATCTGTGTTGTTTCAGTTTTTCATTTACACTGAATTCTTACAATCTCAAAGCACCTAAGTCATGGTTAAAACAAATATGCAGACAAAAGTGTTTGGGGGGTTGATTTCCCCTCTTTGCCACAATCATGGGTGATCTAGCATGAACCAAGTAATTTGCCTGTGTATCTCTTCCTCTGCTATAGCCAAGAGGTAACAACATATCCCTGCGTGGTACAGCTGACTTCTAATTAATGAGTGTCTAGACTACACAGAACACTATGAGTGGTGCTAGCAAAACACCATAAAAATTTCTTCCCACATTTTTCCAGGACAAAAAGATGCTATAGCTATTATGGATGAGATTAAGAACGTTCTCAAAACACTTATCTTCCCCTACGGGGTCAGAGAACAACATTTGTCCCAGCCCTGAACCAATGTATCATGCTGCTTGATGACAAGTACTCTGAAGAAACTTCAACTTATATGCTGCAGGGTTTTAGAATCTTTTAATGTCCAGGTTACATCAGAAATAAAGCCTCACCCTTCAGAACAACACTTACCTGGATTCCTCTTTTCTTTAATAGATCGATACCAACAATATCTCTATAATCGTAGGAGACCATTTCCTTCTGATCTTCTGTCACATAAATGCGACCATTTGTCAGGCATCCATCAATACTGCAAACCAATAGCTTCACCTCTTTTAATGGCTCTTTGCCAAAATATCCAAAGCTAGACAAAGAAGTTATCTTTTTTAGGATGGAAGTTTTTGCACATTCCAAACCCAAATATTTCAAATACAATTGTGATCTTCAGACAGAAGAATCAGCTTTGAAATTCTTTTTTTCTAATGTCTTTTCTCATCATCTTCACTCTCCAACTATATTCTCCTTCTTCAAAGGAAAAAAAAAAAAAGAATGATCCAAAAGACAGCTCAGTTATGCTCTCCATTTAAAAATTAGGATGAGATTTATTTCCTTAGCATGAAAGGTTATGTTCTGTAGTATTTACTTGGGGCAGGCACGGAAAACATTCCATCTCCACCCATTATTTCCTTAGAGAGGTGCAGAGTAGCTGCAAAGGCAGCTGGCAAGCTGTAATCAGCTTATGCCTTCTACATGAGCACTCTCATTCATGTGCATCAGTGAATGTGGTCCAGACCATGGAAGCCAAGGACAACTCAGACGGAAAAGCCAGAGATGATGCTAACACATTGCTATGGTATAGTGGGGCTTACACTTTTCCCCAAGCTGAACTTTTTAAAACAAAAACAAACCACCACATACAGCAAAGGTAATTCAGACATTTCAACAGAGATAGGAAAAAATGATGGGCGGAAATAAAGTTGTCCAATTATCTTTGATCTTGATTACTTACATTACATACATTATGAATTCACATGACCGTATTTTGAAACAATGAGCACTATCAAAGAAATAAAAAGTGTTTTTACCTCAATACTCTCTGCTCTGCAATAGGCCAATCAATGTCTATATCTATATCCACACTGTGCTCTGCACGCATTTCATAGTAGGCCATTTTACCACCCTAAATAAAATAGAACCCATTAAAATTTTCTGCTTGGGTTAATACAAATACAAAACCGTACAATTTAGTACCATGTAATGAAGGCTAAGTATCTGGTTACACAGCGGTCACAGTAGCTTAAATATAAATGAACCATCAATAATGATGTTTTGCCAGTGACACAGAACCAAGCACTTGAAAAAGCTTTCTATAGGCAATGGTTAATAAGTACTTTCATTTTACAACTAGAGAAAGCATGCAAGAAAGATGTTATGCATTATAGTCGTTACGTCACACTGATTTCACTAGGTCTTTTAATACAGTAAAATAGTAATACCTTTAGCATTTACTTAGTAAGAGTATGCTTATTTTTTGTTTGCTATCTATACACAGACTCAATTTCAGTTGGAAAAATATCCGCCACACCCTGATGTAATTAAAAAAACCAAAAGCCCTGATCCTCAAGAGGGCCCAAGCTTCATAAAATGTGGAATTCAGCACAATTGTACTATCCAGATCAATGCTTGCAAGTCCACACAGCACTAGCTGGCACTGCATGGGTCTGTGCAAACTATAGAGACCTAAAGCTAGTATCTCTGCATTAGTACGGTATCTGGAAAAGAGAGAAATAAGAACCTGATATTTTTGACATACCTAGTAAGGTATTCCTGTTAGAAATATGGAAATATCTACACTGGGCTTTTTTTTCAGTTCTGCTGACAAATATTTGAAATTATCTGCAAGATGGAGAACTTGTCTAGCACAAGAAAACTAAGAGGCTATACTTGTAGACAAACAAAATGAAAGCCAAAGTAAATACATTTGTTCTGCATTACTACACTGGGACGTAAACATCAGGAAAGGGAAAAAGACTGTTTGAGTTTCAGTACAAAATTGGCGTAAGGCTAAACTGGCCAGGCATACAAGTTTATAGATTATATGAGAAGCCTATGACACTGCATGAAGGTCAGCTTCACACCCTTAGCAACACTAAAATGAGTTATAAGATACGCACTTACATCCTGGCAAACTGATGTGAAAATCAGTATTGTACTGTTTTAGGCTTATAGCTATATCCTACTAAATATTATTTGTATAAATTTGTTTGCCATGGAGGATGCTGTTACTGGAACTGCTCTAGCTACAGCTAGCCCTGTTAAGTTACCCATAATAAGCAAACTATCCTGAGGTCAAAGTGCTGTTACTTCATACTGACTGCATCAGAAATAGAAATACATTATTGAATTCAAAACCCTTTATAACAAGAGTAAAAGATGTATTATTCTAAAGAGCATGAAGAACAGAAGCACTAACCTGCAAGTAGCCTTTCTCAATCAAATGCCTCTTGGCAAAATAAAATGAGCCATTTTCGTACAGCTCCCCAGGCCAATCTTGCCTCCGGTAGCGTTTTGCTGGATTCAGGTTTTGGGGCTCTGTCATTTTGTTTTCTGTTAACAGAGAAAAATGACAAAATAAGTTTTCCAGAATCCCTGTTCAGAGTCACTTAACTTTCTTTAAATTTCTTTAAATTTAAACTTTCTTTAATCAATTCAGTCACCAACTTCCTTCATTACTGCCTCTCGCTGCTTAGCTTTATAAAGAATCACTGAATTTCTTGCTTTCTTGGAACTGCGGGTAACAAACTGGAGGACTGCCCTGCATTTCTAGCAGAGGAAATTTTTCATACCAACTTAGAAAAAAAACAAACCAAAAAACCTGAGAGGTCGTCAGTTCCAAAACTGGTTACTAAAAAGAGTAGGGGGGACATTCTTCTAGACTGTCCTTGCCAATGTGAAAAAAATACTATACTCTTTCCGTACTCTACCTCCTAGTATGCAGCAGGAAGGAGTTTAACTCACAGTGAGGGTAAACACAAAAAAACCATTCAGCTACCTAC